CCAGGAATTTCAGGACACAGGATATTTTTTTTCCCGCCCAGCTGTGTTGTGTGTTGCTGTTCAGCAATCTGAAGTTGCTTATCTAGCGTAAGTCAGAATGAGGGAGCCTAGGGAAGAGGGGAAATGCCTTCCAATAGTTTTCTAAGTAGAAGAAATTGAGGTGTTAGCCACCCAGCTGGCATGTGACTAGAACCAAGAAATGGAGTCCACGTGGGCACCCATGCTCACAAGAACATTCACATTGAGGCCTTATGATGTTAGTTGAACTGGCACAACCTGACATTACTCCTGCTACTGTGTTTATTACCAGCCCACTGTGTGTCAGGAGAGGCCCTGGAGGAAAGAGTGGTGAGCAAGACTGGCTGGTACATCTCCAGGCAATTACAAAGCAAAGGGAGCTATTGAAGCAGTAAACTATGGTTTCTGTGGGTTCAGTCCCTCCTCACACCTAGCAGAACAAAGACTAGAGTGAAGACTCATGTTGAGGGGGGCTCACCAGCTTACTCCAGTGCTTTTTCTGGACTCATACTTCTCCAAACATGTCCTTTAGATTGAATCGGTGCAACCAATAAACTTAGGACTTAGAGTTTAGCTCAGTATCTACCTCTAAATATATTCCTAAGTAGGCCTAAATGATGTATAATTATAACGATTATTTGTGTCAGTACTGGGGCATGAACCCAAGGCATGGAAACTCACACTTTTATATTCAAGGCTGAGTTCTACTATTTGAGTCACACTAAGTGGTATGATACACGGTACTTCTGACTTTTTGAGTTACTCAAATTGGTCTGCCTTGGTTAGCTTCAAACCTGGATCCTCAGATCTCACCCTTTTGTGTAGCTAGCTGGATTATAGTTATGAACCACTGATGCCCAGCTTCAATGATGTATTTTGATTTATATGTTTCTTTGAGGTTTGCTAAATGTAATGTTAATGGGGATTAACTAACTAATGTGAAGTCCTTCCTTCATACTTGGAGATGGTCTAAGCACATTCACATTCATACTCTATTCTCCTGACTGGTGTGTGTGTGTGTGTGGGGGGGTTGTTTCATCTTTCCCAAAGATGAGGAAACAGGGTGGTAGAAAGTAAAGTCCTATCTGCCTTTGGAAAGAGTCTTGACAGTTAGTTAATGTGGAATTTGAGTTCTTAATTTCTCTGTTTCTACCATCTCTGTCCAGCTTGGTTTTAGATGATGGTCTTTGTGGCCATTGATTATCCAAGTCTTTCTTGCTTGGTCCACCAAGAATACAGGGATACTGCCAATTTTTACTGATGTGATTTTGACCTATACCTTCTCTTGCACACGAGTGATTTTGTTCTACCTTGATTGGATTCAGATACATATTCTGAAAGAGATGTTCAAGCTACTTTGGACCACCCCCTTTATGGCTACCTTATTTTACCCCGTGAGCCATTACAGAAGTGTCTCTGAACCTTGGACTGCTTGGGCTAGAATCCCATATTCTCTGCATCTCTTTTAGACCTGCAGGCCTCCAGTAATTTTCTGGATGGTCTCTTGTCAGCATTGACTCAGTATCCAAGAAACTGTTTTCAAGGTTTCATGAAAATCTTTAACATATATTAAATTATAAAATAAATATTGTTACAACTTGCTTATCATCTCCAACATAGGTGCTTCATTACCAGGTCCCTTTCCTGAGCATCACAATCTAACCTACTTTTATGAAACTTGCCCTAAAGGGAGAGGCAAGGTAGCTCCTAAGAAGCTTCCCATCTCATAGCCTGTAAGGTGTGAAACAAAACCCAGGAATTCTAACTCCCAATCCAGCATCCATTTATCCCACACCACACTGATGAAACGATATGTGGCTAAGGATAAGTGGTTGATTCAATAGAATGTAAAGAAACAGCTTTTGCACTGGGTTTGGTGGCACTTGTCTCTAATCCCAGCACTCAAGAAGCTGAGCAGGGGGACCAAGAGTTTGTAGACAGTTTGAGCTACATAGGGCATTCCAAGCTAACTTGAGACTCTGTTTAAAAAATACCATCAAGCCCAACCAAACAAACAAAACCCCTTTGCGACTAGACAGAACTTTTCAGATCACATCACTTATTTTTTATTCAGCATTTATCAAGATGTTTTGATCACACAGTTTGATCCCAAGACCTTTTAGCTCTACACTGGCATAATCAGAATTAGACAAATCCTGGGATAAGCTTATCAAGGAAGCATTTTATTTAAAAAAAAACCAAAAATGTGGGGCTCATGTAATTTCTTAATCTACTTTCTAATATAGTTAAACCATCTCTTATTTTTTCTAATTCATTTCTACTTTATTGAATTATTTTTACAAGATCATTTTTTCTCTATGCGTACTCTATCATAAAGATTTGATTTATTGATCAGTGATTTGTGTGTGTGTGTGTGTGTGTGTGTGTGTGTGTGTGTATGCCTATCAGATTTTACCCAGATACTTGCTACCATTGTGACTGCTCTTTTCTGACCATTATTTCTACCATATCCAATTTTCTCATGTCAAATTTACAGGTCTAAATTTTGTCAAAAATCTTTGATTCTCCCTTCAATTTTTTTAACTGAATAACAAATTTCACTATGTGCATTTTTAGCTGCTGTCAGTTCTATTTTGTATTATTTTTCCCCCTTCTGACAGATCTAATTTTTTTCCAGGTCAATTTCTGCAGTATGAAGAACCTCATCTTCCTATTATGGAAATCAGTTCCTTTTTTGATATGTTTTCAGTAGGTCCAAATCGTACTTAAGGGGTCAACATACCCTGCATTGAGACAGTTGACCCGCAAAGATTAAGAAACCTCTTTGAGGTCATATATAAAGCTAGGGACATACTTTAGAACATATAGCGTCTACAGTTCAGTGTAAGAATGTACAATCAGGATAATCTTGCACATATACCTTCCTCCTTCTAACTTCCTCTTCTGACTCCTTTTCTGAGCTAACACAATTCCTACTGATTTGACCTCCCTAAGAAATGGCAGCTGGGCCCCGGTTCCAAGTCTTTTGGCTTCTCCTTGCTTTCTAGCTTAGGCCTGCCTTAGGCTGTATGTGCACTGGGGTGACATGATTTACAAACAAGCAAGACCAAAAAAGGGAGGGAAAAAAAATCCTTTCTTGTGGAAAATTAGGTCAGTGGCAGACCTGGGGAGGGGAGAGAATCCAGGCCTTGTCCTCCCATCCTTCAGTTCATCCCCTTGCCAGAAGCTAAGAGGGCAGAAGCCTGTGGTGTGTTGGAACAGACATCTGGGGTGGGGGTGGGGGCAGTGCCCAAGTGCTCTTACATGGATGCCTGTGAACCTGAGAGCCGGCTGCTTCCCAGCCATCCGGGCTGCCCTCCCCCTCTCCCCCAATGTATTTGTCTGGATTACTCTAAGGGGGATATTAGTGTTGTCTAATAATGGCCTCAGATTTATCAAGGGATTTGTTTGATTAATTCCAAAGCACAGGGCAACAGATAGATTAGAGCTCAGTTTGTACAAGTACCCCCACCCCCATTCCCTGCCCTCACTTGAGCTGGGGGAAGTCTACCCTCTATTCTTGTGGTCCAGATGGTCAAAGCTCTAACTTTTAGGACTTTGTGTGACAGTTAAGATCATTGTCCACTGCTATCAAATATGACTGAGTGTCCAGGAATACAGGTAATTCTCCAGATCCCTTCTGGGTTCCCTGTGCAACACAAGCTCTGGAGATTGAGTCACTTGATTCTTCTTTCCTGGTTATTCCCATCATATTCTGATCACTGTTTCCTCCCCCCCACCACAGACCTCCCAATCAGGGCACAGGGGAGAAATCAATAGTTGGGGTGTCGAAGGCCCAACCGTGTGGATGTGTTAATTCTCTTCTTGCTGTGTTTCCTCCTCTATGTCACACAGCCACACAGTATCCTATTTGACACTATGGCACTGATCACAATTACAATTAACTATTTTTTTCTGATTATTATCGTCTGCCTCACAAGAGTGACAATTCCTGGGACATGGGTAATGTACAATGAATGTGTGTCAGTCAATGAACCTGTAGACAGAAAGGGATGGACTTCTGATACACAGACATGCTTCCACTTTGTAAATTCTCCATTATCCTCCCAGGAACAAAATCCATTTTGTTTTTATTGTTTTAAAACCAATTTTCCATTATAGTAACACAGATGTTTACAAGGTAAACATGGTTATTGATAATAATTATAACCCCAACAATTTTTTTAATTGATGGGTGTGTTTTCTGCAGAGACTTCTCCTCCTCTGATTTGATCTCTGGGGTTTCTGGCAGTAGAATGCTTTCTCCTGGGTGTCTGGATCCCTTGGGGAGGGGCTTGCAGAATCATGTTTAGCTCTGGAAATAGGACAGGTGTATGTTAGGAGGTTGCCTGTATGGTCCTAGTCTTTTAGTTCCAGAATATCATAATATCCTTGCTTATTTTATGAAACTGTGAGATAGGGGAAGCCTCTAGGGGGGAAACAGAAAAGGTATTGGGGGCTTAGGAGCCAGAGAGCTTTCTAGTAGAGCTACTTATTTTCTTGTGGGATTCCCTAGATTGCTAGAAACTCATTCTTTCAGCACAAAGACACTTTGCAAAGTATACAATTGAACGTGAACTTGAGCCAATAGGTGGCCCTCTCCTTAAGCCCAGGGCAGGTAGTGCTAAACCCAGTATTTCAAGATGTAACCAATCAAAAGGGAAGTGATCTATATTGAGCATGGTATCTGATAGGCTCTTAGGTATTTTATTTGCATTTGCCTCTTTTGATACTCTTCACAACTCTGTAATTGATATAATGGTATCCATTTTGCAGATGAAGTTCTGTAGCTTATACAAGGTCATATAATGAATAGCAAACAGACATTTGAGCTCAAAGCTTTCTGTACCCTCCATTCCTCTTCCAAAGCCCAGTCTTTGGGGGGTACCAATAGATAGCTGGCCAGTTAAGGAGAGAGGTTCTACACTCTTGGCCCAATTGTTGCTCTGTGCCCTCTAGGTTTCTTTAGTAAGACTTAGAAGCATCCTCTGTCAACTCCGAGTCCCCCATGAGTGCTAAGCCTGATAATAGATAACCCAGAAAGGCCACCCTCTCATGTATGCATACTCTCTTGATGTAGTGGATTTACTACGAACTGACGGCAGAGCAGTGATTTTGAGTCTCCAGTGCCTAAGTTGGTGTATGGCATGCAATATGTGGTCAGTAAATTAAGGATGAGAACAAGAGAGTGAGGATAAAGGCTTGTGCAAATTATAAACCTTCCCAACTCTTCTGAGAATCTTGAAGCCAGCCTTACATTCCACGAGAACTAGCTGTTCTATGAAGGGCGGGTATTCAGGGGTCCATAGAGCTAGATCACCCATGGACAATATCCTCTTTTGGATTTTAATGTATATTTTTATAGGTTGCCTGTCTGAAGTATTGGAACACTTGGTTATCGTTTCCAAAATTTAGTGTCTTCTAAATTTACTTGACTACCATATGGTTTTTTTCCTTCAAGGAATGCTTGTTCCTATTTTATTTGATCTTGCAGTTTTTTGTTGCACAGGTGATGTACAGAAGGGTTACAGCTACATCAGGAAATGAGCATAATTCTTGTCCAACATTGTTGCCCCCCCATTTTCTCTCACTATTCTTCCCCTCTCACTCTCCTCCCCCAAAGTTGTAGAGTTCATCTCCAACATAGTATCTCGTGAGTATCACTGTGCCATTGGTCACCCTTGGTCCTTGGTCTCACCATTTCTGTGATTCCCCTTCGCATCCCCAAATCGGATAAACTTATGCACAATACAAAGAGTACTGAAATAAAAACAATGATCTTGTATTTTTATGGAGTTCATTTTGAGATTTGTTGCCCTAACTTAATTCCTTTCTCTGAACTATAGATCCTGAGATTGTGCCCTACAGTAGACAATGTCAATACTACCAGGCATATAGCACTGTGGTAATAATTGACATTAGGCTATTCTGACTATTTTCCACAGGTCTTGGCCAACTCAACTTTCTTTCCTGAAATTGTCCTTTGGTTCCTGTAATACAACTGATTTAAGTAGTTAGATTAGTTAAAGGAAGAAATAATGAGGGTCTGGAGAGATGGGAGCGAGCGAAGGAAAAGGGCTAATTTAGATTCATATTTAGATCTGAGCTATTGTTTGTGAGTTGAATGACTTGAGGACATGCATGTATGATGTTGCCATAGCTGGTGGATACACAGTATAACAGAAAACTTCAGAACATAGCAGGGATTATAGTGGCTAAAGATCTCTCCAGTTGGGCTGGGAAGGTGGCTCAGTGGTAGAGTGCTTGCCTTGCATACCTGAGGCCCTGGGTTCGATTCCTCAGCACCACATAAGCAAAAAGAGAAAAAAGCCGGAAGTGGCGCTGTGGCTCAAGTGATAGAACGTTAGCCTTGAGCTGAAGAGCTGAGGGACAGCGCCCAGGCCCAGAGTTCAGGCCCCACGAATGGACCCCCCTCCTAAAAAAAAAGATCTCTCCAGTTGTCTTCTGGGTCTTTTCTTTCTTTCTTTTTTTGCCTTCTTGCTTTCTTCCTTTCTTGCTTTCTTCCTTTCTTGCTTCCTGTTTTGATGCTGGTATTAGGGCTTGAACTCAGGGCCTCATCTTGCTTGGGCTTTTGCTCAAGGCTGGCACTTTACTACTTGAGCCACATTTCTACTTCCAGCTTTTTGCTGGTTATTTGGAGATAAGTGTCTTATATATTTTCCTGCTCAGACTGGCTTCAAACCTTAATCTTCAGATCTCAGCATCTTGAGTAGCTAGGATTATAGGTGCGAAGCCACCAGTTTCCAGCCTGCGTCATATTTTTAAAATGTATTTTATGGTATAATTGTGAATAGAGATCCTACTTCATCTGCTTTTTGACACCAGTTTGTAGCATAGTGGAGCTTCACTTAATATTTTTGGTGTGTATAAATGAACAACTTAGTGCTTGGTTGTTTACAAAGACCTTCCATATTCATAGTCTTGTTCAAACTTCACCGTAACCTGGGCATGTAATTTAGTTCTATTATTATTCCCATTACTTATGTATATGGTAAAGCAGGCTGAGAGAGGTGGAGTGAAATTCTCTAAGGTTGGGCTGGGAATGTGGCTTTGTAGTAGAGTACTTGCCTAGCATGCATGAGCCCTGATTTTGACTTCTTAGTACCACATAAATAGAAAAAGCCAGAAGTGACACTGTGGCTCAAGTGGTAGAGTGCTAGCCTTGAGCAAAAGAAGCTCAGGGACAGTGCACAGACCCCAGGATTGGCCAAAAAAAAAATCCCCAAAGTCACATAGTGACTTGAGACTGGACAGAGTCAGGCCTCAAACCCAGAACTCTGTAAGTAAAATGTCATCAGGCCTCAAAACCAGTACTCTGCAATTAAAATGCCGCGTGTATATTCAGTCTTGAAAAGGAAGGAAATTCTGACCTGCTATCACATGGATGAGCCTTAAGAACCTTATGCTAGGTGGAATAAGCCAGTCACAAAAACAAGTATTGTGTGATTCCACTTTTTTTTTTTTGGTTGGTTGTGGGGCTTGAACTCTGGGCCTGGGTGCTGTCCCTGCGCTCTTCAGCTCAAGGCAAGCGCTCTACCTCTTGAGCCACAGCGCCACTTCTGGTTTTCTAGTGGTTTATTGAAGATCAGAGTCTCACAGACTTTTCTGCCCCAGCTGGCTTTGAACCGTGATCATCAGATCTCAGCCTCCTGAGTAGCTAGGATTACTGGCGTGAGCCATTGGTGCCCAGCATGATTCCACTTTTATGGGGTACTTACACTACCCAAATTCATGAAGACTGAAGTATCCATGATTGTTGCTGGAGGCTAGGGGAGAATGGAAAGAGAAATAAGAGATTTAGGTTTACAAGATGAGATGAAATGAGTTTTGGTGATAGATGACGATGATAATTGTGCAGCATTACAGATGCATTTATTACCACCAAACTGCATTTAAAAGTGGTGAGAGGTTGGAAATATGACTCACTGGTACAGCATCTGCCTAACATGAATGAGGCCCTGGATTCAATCCCAAGCACCACAAAAGCAAATAAACACATTGGTTTGGCAATTTTTATGTTGTTATGCATTTCAGCAAAACTTCTAAGAATTAGGAAAACACGAATGTGGTGGTATACACTTGTAATACCAGCATTTGGAAGGAGAAGCAGGGAGGCACAAGTTTGAGACCAGCGTGTTACATAGTGGGTTCAAAGCCAGCATGAGTGACATAATGAGGCCTTGTCTCAAAACACAATCAGTAAAACAAAACACCAGGTGTTCTTACTCTATACCCAGGGCTCCTTCCTGCACTCCGTACAGCAGCCTTGATAAGGCAGCTGCATTGTGAGGTTTTTTTCCCCCGTAAGCTAGTATATGTGTATGCGTTTATATGTGCACACACTGAATTGTAGTTTGCAGAAGTTCCCTATACAGAAACTCTGGTAGGACCGCCTACTTTTCCTAGGACATTCTTCCAATTGGCTTAAACTCTGAACTATATCCTCAGATCTAAATCAGTCTTAAGAGTAAGGACTTCTTGGAAAAAGGGACGATTCATCCTTCAAGGATGTCACTGGGGCCAAGCAACATGTGGTACTTCCTGCGTGCCAGACATGGTGCTTGATGCTTTTGCAGAGATTAGTTCCTTATAACTCTACAGCAGTCATTGTTCCCCTTATGCAAATAGGGAAGCTGGTGTTAGTACCACACATAGTTCATATGTGTGGCAGAGCCAGGATTTTTATCTTAGTCTACTGGACTACAGAGCCTGCCACTTAGTTCCTGCAGAGATGCAGGATACTTGTGCATAGGGTATGTTTCCTACCATAGAGCTTGATGGATTTCTTTCCCCTCCCATAATGCACTTCTCTCTGTCCTAAGGAGATCATCTCATTCAAGTCAGTTGATGAGTGAAGGTGTGTATATTCCTCTCTGGTGGTTGATACGACAGTTTGGGAAGGACAACCCCCATCCATTCCCTAAAAGCTGTCCTATAAGGTTTCCTAGCCGTGCCCATCTTCTATCAGGACTTTCCCCAAACACCCATCCTGTTGGGTGGGAGACTTTTGTAGTTTCCTGGGAAGAATTATCTAGCTGGTGATGTCTTGTGTTTGAAGGCTTTAACAGATCAATAGGAGTCTCGACTTGTCACTTCAAGTTTGCCCAGGATGTGTCAACAAGTCAGCAGACACTTTAGTGATTTCACTATGTATTTTCCTGAATGTTTGTTTACTGTGTGCCTGGCATGGTGCTAAACACTGTACACGGATTGTCTCATTTGCTCCTGGCCAACAGTCACATAAATTAGGGGCCGTCAGTCCTGTATTTTGTTTTAAAAATGCAAATTTGTTCCAATACAATCGATATATTAGGGAGCACTTGGAGCATAATGATTTTCCTTTTGGTTATGCATGATTTTGTCCATGAGATACTCTAGATGAAGGCAGAAAACTGCTGTCAGAGAAGCTAAGCAGTGTAGGAACACCCGAATGCACACACCTCAAACCTGGCTCAGCCATGGGTGTTACCTGTGCATCCCAGCCCACATCTGATGTTGTGGCCTGCTGGCCATTTCCAGGTAACCCTCCTCCTCCTCCTTCTAAGCAAGTCATGAGCTTCTGCTACCACATATAAACTGAAGTACTATATTTATTATCCCACTTATATATTCCCAACAAGTAAAACAATAGTTTCTACTTCTTATTATATGTCACTGGTGAAATTTTGCGACATTGTGTCACAGCTCATTTTTTCCCCCTCTATAAGCCTGTGGTTTTCATTGTGTGTATTTGGCCCAGCAAAGAGACTGAGGAGTGCAGAGACACTTACAAAAGTATATATACTACTATTTCCTGTGACGGGATGAACTTGAAGCTAAGAAATTTGCTGAAGATTTTATTTTTGTCGGTTGTGGGGCTTGAACTTAGGGCCTGGCCATTGTCCCTGAGCACTTTTGCTCAAAGCTAACATTCTACCACTGTGAGCCACAGTTCCACTTCTGGTTTTCTGGTGGTTAGTTGGAGATAAGGGTATCCAAGTCTCCAAGTTAATTGGAGATAAAACTCTCCAAGACTTTCTTGCCTGGGCTGGCTTTGAACTGCTATCCAGCCTCCTGAGTAGCTAGGATTACAGGCGTGAGACACTGGCACTTGGCCCAAAGATCTTTTAAAAACAAGACAGCAAACCACAATTCAAACCCCAGACCATCATACCTCCATGCCTATTCTTAAAATTCTCAAAACCAAGTGACTGTCTATGTTAATCTCTGGTTGTATCCTGAACATATAGATTGCCTCTTAGTTGCCAGTCAAACCTGTGTTCCTAAATCCAGAACCTTTACAATTATGTTAGAGTCCCTAAAGGTGTCTGGGCACAGCAGTGACCTGGACCATAGAAATTCCCTTCTGGTTCCTTCCTGATGTTTTACTGCTTTACTCTCCAATTGTTGCTGCCTCCCAGGCTGCCTGGAAGCCTGGCACCTGACAGCTGCTACCTGCTGCTCTGCTTTCGGTCTGGAGTTATTAGCATCAAAGAACAAAAGCACACAGCACCAGGGCACTAGGGCTGAGTTATAGATAAATAGACATTTGTGTTGGGGCTAGAGTTAACATGGCCCCATGGGCTTTGATGGGCTCACTCTTCTATGTTTGAAGAGCTCAGAGAGCTAGGAAGAGCAAGAAACCAGACTCCTCTTTATTGAAAGGTAGTTTTAGCTTTCAACCAAAATGGTTTTTGTGTTCTTGGAAAAGAAGGAGGAATCTGTTGCTCATTCTTCCTGGAGGTGGGAGGTGTTTGGGGGGAGGTGCAATCCTGGCCTTGTTTCATATAATTCTAATGTTATAGAAAAAAATATATAATCCTCAGCAGAAGGCCAAAGGCCTGTCCAGATGTTCGGTAGCCTAGGAAGAGTGCACACAGAGGCCAGTGGCCAGCCTTGCTTTTTTTCCACCTCTATCTGCATGAAAACTCCTGCGTCCATGCGTGAGGACAGCCCTGTCTAGGTAAATGAACATGCACAGCTGCTAAGACAGCTTCTCCTTGGCTGCCTCTTGACATTAGAGTATGCATACCAGTGAACTGTTTAGCTTTGGGAGAAAGGGACCAGGAAAGAGGACTGTGTGGATTTGGACAGCTGGACAAGGGATTATGGGTAGTGGGTAATTTTTGTGAGGCCTTGGCAGATGCTGCTGGCTCTGGGTGGGAATGTTCACTTGGTCCTATGATCGCTGTAGTCCCTGGGCTGCAAAGTATGTGCAGAAGGAACGGAGGACTCCCAGGACTGTGGCTCTTGAATTACACTGCACCTAATGTGTCCCCTCTGGCTGAGGTAATACCTGGGTCTCATGTCTGTGAGATAAGGTGCCCAGGCTTCTTCTCTCTTATTTGTAGCTTCCTAAGCCAGTTAGTTTCTGTCCCAGTTTGTGCTTTTATTCAGAAAGTTTTCATATTATACAGTTGGACCCTTATCTAGTGTGTTTCTGAGTCTGAGTGGCATTAATGACAGAGCATTCTGTCTAAGGTCTTAGTTTCCTTATCTGTAAAATGGGGTGAATAATGTTTCCTCCCTGTGAGGGTTGTGGTGAGGATTAAGGGAAATGATGCGGAAAAGCTCTGGGCACTGTGCCCAGCACACAGAAATGTGAGTTTTTTTATGATGATTAATGTTGCTTTTATCCCACTTTCTCTGCTTTCCCATTTTCCCATGTCTGATAGGGGTGGGAAAGAAGCTCCCTACTTGTTAGTTGAGAGAGAGAGGAGAAAGAGAGAGGAGAGAGGGGGAGAGGCAGGATCTGTTATATACTTTGGGTACCTGCCCCAGCTTTTTGTGCCTAGATGTCCACATCTGAAAAATGGGAATGATAATACCTCCTGGTTTACTGACTTGTTCAAAACACTTAGGTCAGTCAATGTTAACTGGTCATTTAATTTCCTTCATGTAGGAGGGGGCTCTCTTCAGAAGTGTGGCTGTGCCATCTCCTCTGTGTTCCCCAAAACACAGTATGGAGTGTAGAAGGAATTGGGGAAAGTCTTAAACTCACGTGTTTTGCAATGATCTTATTCCAATGAAGGGCGGGTTAGGGAGAGGCTCCCCTGGCATAAGGTCCACGGATGTAGCAGTGGTAAATGCAAGGACCTTTCTTTCTTATCCTTTCTAGTTAGAAAATCCAGGTTCACCCCCAAACTGCAGATAATTGTTTCAAGTTTAAATTTGAAAGTAACCATACTGAGTGTACGCACTTGTGGATGAAGTCATTTCAGAATCTGTAATCAGTGTCCATGGTTTGGAGGGAGCTGGAATTTTCCTGATTTATTTCTCTCCTCTGCTAAAGAGAATAGAGGGCAGTTTTGCTCCCTCCAGTTGGAGAAGGTATCTCTTTTCTCTTGTCCTCTCCTCTCCCTCTTACCTCCTTCTTCTCTTCTCTCTTCCTCCCCACCTTTCCCCTCCCCTCCCCTCTTCTCCTCTCTCCTTTCCTTCCTTCCTTCCTTCCTTCCTTTCCTTGCTTTTTATTGGGGGCAGGCCTGGGTGCTGTCCTTCTGTTCTTCAGCTCAAGGCTATCTCTCTACCACTTGAGCCACAGCGCCATTTCTGGCTTTTCTGTTTAGGTGGTGCTGAGGAATGGATGCATGTAAGGCAAGCACTCTACTGCTGAGCCACCTTCCCAGCTCCTCCTTTTGTTTTTCTTTTGTCACTCCTAGAGTTTGAACTGAGGGCCTGGGCACTGTCCTAGACCTGTTTGTGTTTGCACTCTCCCACTTTGAGATATGAGTCTCATGGACTTTTCTTCCTGAGCTAGTTTCAAACTGTGATCCTCAGATCTTAGCCTCCTGGGTAGGTCTGATACACACACATGAGCCTACTGGCTTCGTCTGAGTGTTTCTTGAGCACCTGAGAGGACTATGTGTGAATGACAATCTTCACCCTTTGATCCTTATAGAAGAACCCAATTGAGAAAGACCTGCCTACTGCCTTACTAATTGCCAGTCTCCTGCCTGTACTGTCGATATAAGGTATATATAAGCCTCCCCTTCTTCAGGTCTCTGCTTAAATATTACTTCTGAAAGGCCTTCTTTAACTGTCTTCTCTAATATGGGGGGCTCCTGCTTCCACCTAGCCTGTTTCCTTTTTCTCTATGGCCCTGATTATTATGTGATATTACATCATATATCTTTGTTATATTGTTTACCCCTCCCATCAAACCCTCAAAGGGTAGTCTGGTTCATTCACTATATCCTTAATATTTAAGATAGGTTCTGGCCTATAGTTGGCACTCATTCATCAAATACTGAATGGTGAATAAATGACCTCCATGGATACAACTCACTGATGAGTTACTTTGAGGATCTCCATTTATGCATGAGAAGATGAAGGCTCAGAGAAACGGAAGCATTAACCCGTGGACAGAGGGCAGAGCTGAGATCTGACTGTAAGTCTGTTGTCATCTCCCAATAAGACTTGCTTTCTTTTATGTTGCTATCCCCATAAGGGAACAAAGACGGAATTTGCAGCTTCAGAGAGAAGAAAGCATCCTGTTTCCTGCTCATTCTTGGGGAAGTCTCTGGCTCCATTTGGAGATGAAGTGGGAGTAGCGTCACTTACAGGTGGGGAAGGAAGTTCTCTGTCAGATGTCCAAGGTTTGTTGCAGGCAGATAAAAAAATTGCTAGAGAGATAATATAACTGGATAGCTACAACCAAGTTCTTGTTCCCACTCTCTAGACATC